AGTCTATCCAGAATCACAGTGTGGATTTCGAGCTAATAGATCCACCATCAACATGGTATTTTCCTTCAGACAGTTGCAGGAGAAATGTAGGGAACAACGACAGCCACTCTTTGTGGCCTTCATAGATCTTGCAAAGCCCTTTGATTTGGTTAGCAGGGATGGCCTTTTTAAAATACTTCCCAAGATTGGATGTCTACTTAACATCATCAGGTCCTTTCATGAGGAAATGAAGGGCATTGTAGTTTTTGATGGCTCAACATCAGATCCCTTTTACATTCAAAGCGGAGTGAAACAGGGCTGTCTCCTCACGCAGACCCTGTTTGGGATCTTTTTTGCTGTCATGCTGAAGCACGCCTTTGGAACTGCAACAGAAGGTGTCTATCTTCTCTAGATTGAGAGCGAAGAATAAAGTTCAGCTGAAATGGATGCTGGACTTCCTCTTTGCTGATGATGGAGCTGTTGCTGCCCATTCTGCCGAAGTTCTCCAAAAACTTATGCATCGTTTTAGCAAGGCCAGCCAAGATTGTGGATTAACAATCAACCTGAAGAAAACACATGTCATGGGCTAGGGGGTGGACTCAGCTCTCTCTATTACCATCTCTATACAGGAATTGGAGGTTGTTTATGATTACATGTACCTTGACTGAACAATCTCTGATACTCTCTCTCTCACACACACACACTCAAGCTGGATAAATGCATTGGCAAAGCAGCTACCATGTTCTCTAGACTCATAAAGAGAGTATGGTTGAAGATGACAGCATAAACCAAGATCCAGGTCTAAAGAGCCTGTTTCCTGAGTACACTCCTGTACTGCAGCGAGTCCTGGACCCTTCATGCGAGGCAGGAGAGAAAGCTGAACACGTTCCATATGCGTTGCCTCCGATGCATTTTTGGTATCACCTGGCAGGACAGACTTCCAAACAGAGTAGTCCTAGAATGAGCTGTAATTGTTAGCCTGTATACATTACTGAAACAGTGAAGTCTACATTGGCTTGCGCATGTCTTGACAATGGCTGATAGTCACATTCCAAATGATCTCCTGTATGGAGAATTAGTGCAGGGAAATCGCCCCAGAGGGAGACCACAGCTGCGATACAAGGATATCTGCAAGCAGGAGCTGAAGGCCTTAGGAATGGACCTCAACAGATGGGAAACCCTAACATCTGAGTGCTCAGCCTGGAGGCAGGTGTTGCATCACGGCCTCTCCCAATTTGAAGAGACACTTGTTCAGGAGGCCGAGGCAAAGAGGCAGTCCCGAAAGCAGCAAAATCAGGGAGCTGGACAGGCGACAGATTGTATTTGTCTTCAATGTGGCAGGGATTGTTACTCTCGAATTGGCCTCCCCAGCCACACTAGATGCTGTTCCAAGTCCTCCATACAGAGCACATTACTATAGTCTCTTGAGACTGAAGGATACCTACTCTAGTTTGCACCTAACAAGTTTGCAGATTCCCTTACTCTGTTTAGTGTTTGGTTCTCTAGATCTAATTGCTAGTTTCCTTTGAAGTCCAGTTTCTCAAGCATAGAAGTTGTTTGTCAGCATTAACCCAAGACCAGTGTACAGTACTTTCAGCTCTAATCACATTTGTCTCTGCCTTTTCTCAGGGTGGTGTAATTTCCCGATTGCCTCCTATCGAAGCACTGATCAGACCTATTTGGGTGGTGTAATTTCCCGATTGCCTCCTATCCAAGCACTGAGCAGACCTGAAGGTTTTTCTTCCTAATGCTTCGCCAGTCTCTGTGGCCGGCATCTTCAACAACCATTGAATCCCAGTCGTGAAAGCCTTCGAGAAGACCCACTTGTGTTTCTGTGTTGTGAGTCTGTGCTCTCAAGACCACTGAGATGAGATTCAATACTGCTCTTTCTGTTTCACTTCTTGTACCAGTGCTGGGCTAAGTACCCCAACCAACAGATCCTTTGCAGGCATTAACACAGAAATCTATGGACCAGGCAACCGCTGCTAAGGTGGCAGGGAATTGGAAGTGAAATGGAAGTGAGATGGTAATCAGGCTCCTGAGCAGCTACTGTCTGGGGGGGGGGGGGGAGACGGCACCATGCAAAGATTGCACGTCTGCACTATTGAAATGCAGGAAAAAACAAAGCGTGTTCCAAACTAGGAGGAAGGAAGGAAGACCCGAAGATAGCCAGCTGTAGTTGCTCGGCCAGGGCTGCAAAACAAAATGTATTTACTTAAGTATTTTACACTCCCTGTCTACCATACAAAAAGGGATGATGAAGACCCATCGCCTCTCTTGTTTTCATACTCAGTCTTTTTTTACTTTGAATTTAGAAATAACACACAATTAAAAAAAAAACCAGAAAGGAGAACTATGAGATAGGATGTTTTTATTTTTTAATTAAAATTTTCAGTAGGTGGAAGTGATAAATAATATTTTTCTCTAGGAAAAGTGACAACACGTTCAACAATTATATTATATGAACATCATTGGCATACACACTTAAAATCCCTCCTGTCATTTTGTTTACTGTACTGCCTCTACCAAAAAAAACAAAAACAAATGCCATCTGGTATGAGCAGCAGCTTTTTGTGTTCCTAAAATACTGATGAACCATCACCACCATGGTCATTAAAAACTATTGCTCATTTCCAGAGCAAGAAACAGCAAGATAAATTTCTGGGATATATTAAAATCTTTTGTATCATTTGCTTTTGTAACACAATATAGTTTTGTATAAACACATATTTGGTCAAACACTTAAGATGATGAAAAAAATAGATGTGCCAAAAAGATTTTCTGCCTCTCAATCACGGCATGCTCAGCCTGAGCAAACTTTCAAGAGACTGGAATGTCCAAGTTTCGCATGCAATAAAAATAGCCCACTGGAGCACAGGAAGCCCCTAGAATCAGGTATCACTTCACAAGTTCAAGGGCAATTTTCTACACAAGAGTTTTCCTCCAAAGAAAGGTTCCAGAGGCTTTCTTTCCTAGACAAGATCTGGAAGGAAGCCTTCTACATGAGGATTTTTCACAGTGGCAAGACAGATTCCTGCTGGGCTGAGGACACTCCTTATGGAATAACTCTGACATATTTCTTTTTTTAAAAAAAAAAGTCTCTAGGCAAAAATATCTGCTTGGAGAAGGCAAGATCTAAATTCCTGTTTCTTTGCCTGTTAAAGAGATAACTTAAGACACTTCTGCTGCCAGGAAGTCATTTCCATTCTTGATATTCTTCACAACATGCCATTGGTGTTGTCACATGAATACACATCACGTACATCTACCAGACAGAGGAACTCAAATTGCATATTTAAGCACAGGGGAAAGATCCCGGGGAGGGGAGTGGCTGTTGCTGGCACGATACATGGGGGAATCCCAGGAGAGGAAAAACTTGACAAAATGGCAGCTTCTGAAGAGGTCAGCTTTTTACCCTCTATTAACATTTCACTGAAACAAGAACACAGCGGGAGAGGCTTACAGGAAATACAGCTCACTGAGTCAGTGAGAAAAGAAACCACTTCACCTACAAGAAGCAACATTTTATACAGGAAGTTCCAAGCACTGCCAGGATACTCTTACTGTGTTTATTGTCACTGTAGGTGTAAGACTACCAGCAGTTAGACTAGCACCAAGGCTTACAAAAAAAAAGTCCAGACATCCCACTGCAGACTAAGTCTGAGGCCAGGTGACTTTATTGCATTCTGCCACTTGCCGTGCCATGGGTACTTTATCCCGAATGCCTTCTGCACCAAGAAAGAAGTTGCAACACTCTGGCTTCACCCACCCAAACAAAAAGCAATTTCCACTGCAAGGGGAGCAGCATTAGGACAAAGCAGAATTGCACTGGGCCATTTTCCAACTGTCTTCATCTTCCACTGAATGGGTTCTCTTTGGATATGTTATGCTGGCCATTCGGAAGAACTCATCAGCAGCATCAAGGGCAATGAGACGATCCTGCACAAGGGGGAAAAAACACCTACAGTATTGTGCTGGCAAAAAAAAGAGGCATATATATAGGCAGCTGTCGATAACATGTCTGTGACTCATAACAAAAAGGTCCAAACCAGTTTTGTTCCACATAGAGATGAGATATGCATATTCATCTCCCAGGGGAGACAAATATGAATATCACCACCACAGGTGGCTGGGCAGATTGGATCCTTCCCCAAAACCGGGCTGTTCACTTACTCTTCATGGCTCACACAGCCATCATCATTGTCTCTCCTTGTGCTGCTGATAAATCCAGAGAGGAGGTGGGATGGCGAGTCTCTCCACTCAGCTGCTGAGTGATCAGGACCGCGTGGAAGTGGGGAAGCCCTGGCTGAGCTACGTCCGTGACTGGCGCAGCGTGAATGACGGTGGCCGCATGTGACACACTGTGAACTACTGGACGGTCTGGTTCTAGGGGGAGGGTCCAATCAACCCAGCAACCTGTGGTGGCAAAATTCATATTTGTCTCTCCCAAGAGATGAATACAAATATCCCATCTCTAGTTCCATTCCTGCCACCTTTCCATAACAAACTCAGCTCACTGTGATGCATGCCAGAATACCATTGAGGAAAAAACTACATGCACAAGGGCAATTGTGCAAGTGATTCCCCACCTCCACCCACACTCCGAAGGGCTTCCCCTTCATACAATCAGCCACACTCCTTATATTGCAACCAGTATGCAACCGAGGGCATGAAGGACAGCCCCCAGGAGGGAGGGACCACCTGCATGATTGGCTTTACACCCCGTATTTCTTCAACAGGATTCTGGTTCTTAAGTATAATGTGAGATGGGGCACCAAAAAACTGCTTATGGCGCATCATCATGAACTGACTGCTCATGAGCAGGTCTGTAGGTGGATAGGAACTGTTGCAACTCTACTCAGGCATTCCAAATGTGGATTAATCAACAGGAGGAGGAGGAGGAGATTTCCCATATGGGCTCCAAACTGTATAGAGAACCTCTACAGACAGGCCAGTGTCTCCTTATGCTCCACACCTAGAGGGCAAGGGTCCTGCAACAGATGGGGTTGGACTAACTACTTCCCACCCATCTATTTCATCCACATTTAACGATACTTGCTTAAAACGCAAGTGAACAAACTTTCCAAACTGCATGGAAATTGGCGTAGTGGGTGTTTTTTCCTGCTGTCTCAGCTTTAACATTATATGGACATTGTAAATGTAATTACTGCTTCTAATGTAGCAAGCTGTCGTGTGTATTCTGACTGCAAACAAAAGACTTGTATACCATATCTTAATAAATAAGGTATTGATTCCAAAAGCCACCTTTAGCAGAACTATACCTGCTGTGGAGGAAAATGTACTGTGTCAGAATACATTATGCATAATATTCTAATATGTACCTTCATTCTGCTTTTCAAATAACAACTTCCAATGCCATCTATAATTATTTCAGACTGGTGTTCAATTCCAGAGATGTGTGTTGTAGCCAGCAAGTTAAACAGTCTTTTTGAGAAGGGGCAGCCTGGTAGAGATTGGTATGTGAAAGATGCTGAAACTCCAATCTACACTTAACGCAAACCATGTGCAATCTTTTTTCCTTACCAGACACTCTTTACAGATTTCTCAGGTGTTCTCTGCAGTCACAAGGACTAAATATCTTAATTTTTAAAAGAAAGGCCTATAGTCAGAAATAATTTATTTCTGGATACCTAAAGCAGCATATAGACAATAAATATGTTAAGTACATGCAGGCCATATTTCCTTTGTTTTAGGGGATGCTAAACAAATAACCCAGTGTAGCGTTATGGGTAGTGTGATTGATGAGACTCTGAAGATCTGGGTTTGAGTCCCTGCTCAGCCACGGAAACTAACAGGAGGGAGGGGTGGAATTGGTAAACCCAATCCTTAAATATCTCACTTACCTTGAAATCCCTCTAAAAGTTGCTGTAAGTTTGTTATGTTATGTGCTGTCAAGTCAGAACAAAGTACCATTCCTGCTTTCTGTGCAATTGCTTTTCCTGCTTTTACATGGAATTTACATGGAATTTGACGTCAGGAGTGTTCTTTAAGGATTGTTTCGTGAACAAAGATGTGAAAGCCAACATGGAATGAGAAGGGGAGACTTACCACCACAAAGAGGTATCTCTCTGAAAGCTCCCAGCTTGTTGGGAAAATCGTTGTCTCCTCAGACAGCCTCAAAAGGATCTCACGGGCTTTACTCATGTTCTGAGAATCACTGACAATACTTCGCTTGGTTACGGATAACAGGGTGTCGGCTTCCTTCTGAAAACCTGAGATGGAAGGATTGCAAGACAGCTCAGAGGTTTAGGTCTCTGGCTACGGAGCCAGAGCTTGGAATTCCCCACTATGTCTCCTTGACAAGGGCTGGACTCAATCATCCAAAGGGTCCCTTCCAGTTGTGTAGTTCTAACATGATGATGACAAAGACGAAATCCTATTTTAGCAAATATTCTGAACCCTATTTTCCAACACTGCTCAGAAGGAACAAAAACAGCCCATCTTTCAACAAAACCTACAGAGACAGGTGGGATCTGCTCATATAGAGCCATGGGGCTACCTGTTGAGGAGCACAGGGACGGGGAACCTTATCACTACGTTGCAAAATTTAGGGCATGTATTCTGTTCCTTCTTCTGCATTTGTTTATTAGCTCCTCTCCCCAGCACCTAGAAGGCCACAGTTGACTGTATGTTCACTATAAAGGAAATGGCCTTAAAAGAATTTTGAAGGCAAGGGCTCACTAACTTTGGTTAGGAAAGCTTTTTAGAGGGGACAAGAGTAGTTTCAAACCATATGTGATTATCCCTCAGGAACATCCATGCCGATCAAGTTGGCTATAGCCCACAAAAGTTTATGCCAAATAAAACTTCTTCATCTTTGAGATGTCCCAAGACTCTTTTGGAGGGAGGGGGCAACTCACTGGTCCTACATATTGAAATGCCATTGTTAGAAGCAGTTCCACGGATCTGCATATACATATTGCAGGTACAAGCAAGCCCTTTTGCTCAATTGGTGGGCAAAACTGTCCTTCGTTTGTTGCGGCAGTTCTATGTATCACAATAAACTACAGCAAAACCACTAAAATGCACTAGTGTTTCATATCCCACAAAACATGTTGTTGTTTTTAATACCCTCAGCGTTTGTTCCTGATTTGTATGCACATGTTTTTCCTTTTTTACTTTGATATGTAATATATTCAGGACTTTTAAAGCTGAGAATAGTGCCCTTCTCCCCCAACTCTGAAAACTGGTCTTGGTTTTGATGTTGTTGTTGTTGTTTGTTTAAAAAGCACTCTTCCTTTATGTAAACTACTTTAAATCTAATCCATCAATCCCACCTTATCTGACTTTAAAAGACTTACCCAAATCTTCCAGGATACGTTTCCATCTGTTTCTCACTTCTCTTCGCATTTGCCTTAGGGTATAGATGTCATAGTTCAGCTTTTGCCATTCCTGCAAAAGGAAGAAACAAAGATATCACTTTTCCTTCTCTGATTCCAACCCCCTCGGATCTTCAGACCTCTTCATATATTCAGGCCCTCTTCTCAAATCAGCTGAGCCATACCTCTCCCTTAGAAGCCCCAAATGACCTTTCCCCTCCTCCTGCACTTCCTGCTAACATGACTCCCAGGACAGGGAACTCATCATGGCAGTGGGAGAGGGGAGGGAAAGAGAACTCTCCTATGTCCTAAGTGTTTACTTAAACAGCAGCATGGCACTGTGCCTGTCTGCAAACATGGATGGTATCCCAACTGAAAGGCAGAGATGACTTTCCTTCTGACCCTACCAGTCCCCAAAGCATCCAGGGATATAGGACACAAAGCGGCTACAACCAAGGAGGATATGCTATTTGCAAATCAAGTGGTAAGGAAAACTGCTAGTCTTAAACAACTGGTATAATTGATTTTAAATAATTAAAGCCAGGCAAAGAATACTATAGTGTGAACCAGGATTTACTACATAGAGTGAAAACACAGGTGAACAGCTTGGGGATGCTCCTGGATTTGTCTCTGAGCCAGGATGTGGTGGCAAGGACTGCATTTGCACAATTAAAACTAGTGTGCCAGGCGCACCCATTCCTGAAGAGTTCTGATCTGGCCACAGTGACACATGATTTAGTTACATCCTGACTAGATTACCATAACGTGCTTTATGTGAAGTTGCCTTTAGAAAGTGCTCTGAAACTTTACTGGGTCCAAAACAAAGTAGTCAGATTGCTAACCAGGACTAGTCACAGGGCTCACATACCCCGCCCCCCCCAGTTACAGCAGTTCCACTGGCAGCGAATTTATTTCTGGGCAGAATTGAAAGTCCTGGTTCTAACCTACAAAGCCCTTAATGGCTTGGGTCCAGGGTATCTCAAGGACCATGTCTCCCTTTATGAACCTGCTTAGCTATTAAAGCTCATCAGGAGAGGCCTTTCTCTCAGTCCCGCCACCTTCACAGGTGCATCTGGTGGGGACACAGGAGAAGGCCTTCACTGCTGCTGATCCTAGATTCTGCAACTCCTTCCCACAGGAGGCCAGACTGGCCCCCTCTTTGCTGTCTTTCCACAAGCAGGCAAAGACCTTTCTCTTCAGGCAAGTTTCCCTTAGTGACTGGCTGTCTGAGTGGGGTTTTTTAATGGACAGTTGTGCCTTGTTGCTTTGAAGTTTTTGATATTGCTTTTGCTTACCATTTTTTAAGTGTGGTATCTGTTTGATTTTTTTTTAGTATTTGTATACTTACTGTTTTCAGTTTTAAATATTGTCTTTTAATGATGTAAGCCACCTTGGGTCTTTTTTAAGGAGAAAGGTGGAGTAAAAATATTTTAAATAAATAAATATAAATGAAGATACAGGTAAGGCAGAACAGGCAAACATGCATATTTAAATATTTTCATATACAAATACATTGATCTTTTTAACAATGCTGTAAGAACCTGAAAGGAGAAGAAATAATCATGCAGCTACAGCATATTCTCAAGAGACATCCAGTCCTTGAATTTTGCACTGCCTCTGCCCCAGCCATTTAAGCATCAGCACTTCAGGAACATCCCCTGGACTGCAAGGAGAACAAACCTATCAGTTCTAAAGGAAATCAACCCTGAGTGCTCACTGGAAGGACAGATCCTGAAGCTGAGGGTCCAATACTTTGGCCATCTCATGAGAAGAGAAGAATCCTTGGAAAAAAACCTTGATGTTAGGAAGGTGTGACAGCAAGAGGAGAAAGGGACGACAGAGGCATTGATCTTTTTAACAATGCTGTAAGAACCTGAAAGGAGAAGAAATAATCATGCAGCTACAGCATATTCTCAAGAGACATCCAGTCCTTGAATTTTGCACTCCCTCTGCCCCAGGCATTTAAGCATCAGCACTTCAGGAACAAGGCCCTGTGTACCTTCAGTCAATTACAGTTTGGCTGCCATTTTCTGCTATAAAAAACATCCTTCTTCCTAGAAATCATGATGCCGTCACTTAGCCAATCAGTTTCAGCATGTCACTATCACCTTAAGCACCCTTTCCCCTAAATCAGTTCAATTTCCTCACAGTGAAAATACACAGCCAAATCAAATTTGTTCCCCATTTAAAACAAGAAATTAAACTGCTGCAGCAGCTGATTAGAGTGGTACACAGCAGCACAAGAAGAGAAAGAAAGGAAGAGGAGTAAAAGAGGATCTTCTGGCTGAAAAATATTTTGAGGAACTCCAAAGCCCATTTTTCATGGAGGCAGAATTTTTGCCTAAACCTTGTGTGTTACGTGCTGTCAAGTTGGTAACAACTAACAGAGGCTCTAATAGGGCTTTTCAAGGAATATTTAAAGAACAGTTTTCCCTGTGCTACACACACACACACAGGACTTTTCATGGATGAGTGAGGATATGAACCCAGGTCTCCTATTAGTATTACTCTATCGACTACAGCAGACTGAGTATAGCTCAACCTTATATGAAATCAAAATGGACACAAAGGTAGGGGCAACATTATGTGTACTCTACTCTGATAGAGAAACAAGATCTTCATGGAAGCCAACGGTGGTCCCACACAAAGTAGTTTAATTTGCACTTGCCTCTGAAACAATCTTTTCACATTTTCAAAAGGGCATCAATTTATGCAATTCTCCCACTAGGGGGTGAATAACACCACAAGGCAAACTGCAACCATTTAAAAAGAACTGATTTATAGCAGCAAGTCTGTTCAGCAGGTTTCTGTTTTGTACCAACATCTAACCTCATGAGGCAGACTGAACTGGCCGGAAAAATGATGTAATGATGGCATTCTACTTTAACTCTGAGGTCTTTTCCTAAAAGATAATCTATGACACACACTCACACACCGGGCAAATGTGAAGAACAAAAGGAAAGGCAGGATTCTGGTTTAAGACTGAGAAACAAAGAATCAAGGAATACTTTACTACTTTGATTGAGTTCAGATTTCCAGGGCTGCCCCCCCCCCCCCGAAGAGACATGCACTGGGCTAGTAAGAAGAAACAGAGATCCCCCAAGGGGATGTTTTCAGGGGAGTCTGTGAGCAGTAGGCCAGCGCTGGTGATGTGGAAAGTCATGCTGGTCAAGGTCTAGGAGCCACCTCCCCGATATCTCACTCTGGAAAGGTGAGTCTTCCCATCACAGATAGGGGACGTCTCTTGCACCTTGCCTTGCATTACAACTATTCCTTTGGGAATTGTTGCAATGGCAAGCTCCACCACAGAATCTCCCTGGATATGGAAAGCTTATCAGCTCCCTGTTAGAAAACACACATATAAACATATGCACCTCAAGAAAGCACAGGTATCTACTTTATTTTTCAAGGTGCGAGAAAAAAAGCAAAGTAACTGCTAATTGGATGTTCATCTTCTAAACCACTGGTTCTTAACCTTGGGTTACTCAGGAGTTTTGGACTGCAACTCCCAGAAGCCTTCACCACCAGCTGTCCTGACTGGGGTTTCTGGGAGTTGCAGTTCAAAAGCATCCGAGAACATCCACCAGTGTAAAGCAAAATTGACACTGAGGGAAATCAAGATGCACCCAGGTACAGAGGAAGAAGCAAATTCAAAAATAAGCAACTGTAGCCTCTGCATCACTAACAATAGAAGCAGGAATATAGAAGAAGATAATTAAAACAGCTACTTCTATGAGAGGTTGAAGCCAGAGTCTGGAAAATTATTTTTCAAAGGTAATTCATATGTAAGGACTCCAAAATATGTCATGCATTGAGTGTAGCATGGCAATGAACAAGGCCACTTTCAGCTAGCAGAAGGCAGCAATCTCCATCAGAGATGGATCTGAAACAGGTACAGGAAGTTTGTGGGAAATCACTGGTTCATTTGTTTGGGTCAGTTCTGGTTTGTCCAAACCGAAGAACCCAAACAGACCTGAACCACTAACTTTTAAAGTGTTTTCTCAAACTTCCTGGTTTGTCCCTCCCTGACCCCACAGCCTACTTGCCACCCCTTTCCCACTGCCCCCCATCACCTCCCTACCTTTGGCTGATGCTGCCACCCTCTTGAGAGGTAGCCCACCTGGATCCTCTTGGGGGGTGGAGAAACTTGGCTTTTTTTCCCCAGAGGCAGCCCCAGGTGGTAGGGATGGCTGCAGCAAAAGGCAGCGAGGTGATGGGGCGGTGGGAAGGGGACAGTGGGTTTAGCTTAATTTTTTTTAAAGGCACACACTTTTTAAAATACCATTTTGTGGCTAGTTTTTCTAAAAAATGCAGATGGTTTGTGGTTTGTGGTTAGTGAATCACAATTTTTGTGATTCATGCCTATTTCTACTATCCAGTCAGAGAGCTGAGTCAGATCTGTTCAGCTTCAGTGCCATTGCTGGGTTTTATGTGCTTTCAGACCATACCTGGGGACCAAAACTAGCACTGTAGAAGAACTGTCTTCAGGACCTGTTATAATGGAAAAGCTGTTCATGTCACAATAAAAATAGATCCAACAGGAATCCAGTAAGACCATGTCCTGAGATAGCATCCTGACTATAAAATTCAGCTGCAAAAACACCAAAAGATACTTTGGGTGTGGATGTAGTCATACCCTAACACTGGTTCAGGGCACTAATTTCAAAAGGGAAAAGAAGCAGACTGTTTATTTCTCTCCACTGAGAAATAAAATGATATTTAATTTTGATAGGCTTGAAATGGACAGTGGGTTTAGCTTAATTTTTTTTAAAGGCACACACTTTTTAAAAGACCATTTTGTGGCTAGTTTTTCTAAAAAATGCAGATGGTTTGTGGTTTGTGGTTAGTGAATCACAATTTTTGTGATTCATGCCTATTTCTACTATCCGGTCAGGGAGCTGAGTCAGATCTGTCCAGCTTCAGTGCCATTACTGGGTTTTATGTGCTTTCAGACCATACCTGGGGACCAAAACTAGCACTGTAGAAGAACTGTCTTCAGGACCTGTTATAATGGAAAAGCTGTTCATGTCACAATAAAAATAGATCCAACAGGAATCCAGTAAGACCATGTCC